ACTGCATCTCTCCTGGCATCTCTCATCTGCTTCCCCTGAGCCGTTCTTCCGAGGTTTGATCCGAACAATAAAGCGAATGATTTGAAACAACTGTGTGAGTCACGCGGAACTGTTTCCCATGAGGCTGCAGGTATGGAGGATGTATCTTTGTGGGTGCTGCTGTAGTCTTGGTGTGCAGAGAGCTTGTCAATGCTATGGAAAGTGTTGCAATTGTTCTGAAGTGCTCCTGTGATTTTTGGCATAATGTGATGCAATTCTTAAATGGAATGAAAATCTCAGGATGTTGCTCAATATGTTTTTGATGTTATTAATGCCTTTATAGTTGTGTAACATATTAGATATTGTTTTTCAATGATACTAGCAAAATCTTATTTGGAAGAGCTTGAAGTGAAGCCAAGTTGAGGTTTAAGATTTGTAGAGCTGGAATATGAATATATAGTATCAGTATTCAGCAAGGAAACATTCAGTTGATCAAAAGTGACAGTAAAGACTTTTACATTATTTCCAAAAATCCAATTAAATGCTGTTATTGTGTACTTTCTACACATCAATGCATCCTGAAAAAAGTATCAAGGTTTCCACAAAAAATATTAAGCAGCCCAACTGTTTTATGTAACACTTGGAGTAATGGATGCTGAAAATTCAGCATGGCATCACAGAAATAAATTACGTTTTCTAATATACTTAAATGGAAAACAGTTATTTAGAACTGCAATAATATTTCACAATATTACTGTTGGTGCTGTATTTTTGATCATATAAATGTAGCCTTGGTAAGAGAAACACCAAACTTTGGTGTTTGGTGTATGTAAGGAATATATATAGTTTCACAGCCAAAATAAAATTGAATATACTGTATCAATATATCAATACTTATTTATCGCCCTGCTCTAGTGTGTACGCAAGCACAAATGTGTATGTTTCAGTTTTTGCATCAGCTGAATTGTGGGTATTATAAAAAAAACTGTGGTTCAAGATTAAATATTTCTAAACTTTCTAATACTGTAGCCATATTCTCTCTTTCTCGGTTTCTGTTGAATTGGTTGTTCCGACAGACGAGAAACCAGATTGCAATTATTGTTGTTTCACAGCTACAAATTCCCATTTGACGGTGGAGCTCATCTTTCTCTCCTCCAGCTCTGCTATCAGACAAACCCGGTGGGCTTTGATCAGATAGCAGGGTGGGATTTCTGGAGATTTCTCGCAAATCCAGCTGGTTTTAAAACCTCCCTGCGGACACCAGGTGATAAAGGATAAAATTACAGGGGCGCTTGGCCACATGGACACACATACACCTGCACAGGGACTCCAATCACCACATTGCTGCTAATATTCCTGAATGTATGGCAAAGTATCAGTGGAAATGGGAATGAACTTTGTGTATCAAGGGAATTTGATAAGAAAAGAGTATTTAGAATTGTGCTCTCTCACACACATGAACTTCTACACCTGAAATAGTAAATAGTGTGTGCAGGAAACCTCTTATGTCTGTAGAAAATAGGTTTTTCCTGGAGTGAAAGGGACCCCTGGTGAACGGGTAATGCTCCTTTTGTTATCTGTATCCTTACTGTGAGGTTGTGTCTAGCCTGTCTGAGCCTAGCATATTTTCTTATTTATTCTCATTTCATCTCTTTGAGAGAATATACTGACATAAGAAATAGAGAACTTTAGAAGTAGCTGAGATGAGCTGAGGCCTTTGTGTCATTCATATATTTGTTTTTGTTCTGCCAGCATATTTATATACAAGCCCTCCCTCACTATATTCGTGCACTTGCAGTTATTAGTTGTGATACCACAATTTATTTTTTCTTTGTCAAGACTGTTGCGCCATCCTAAGCAATATGTGATCTGAATGGGACTACAAAGTAATTAATAGACGTCAGATGTTTTAACATTCCTGTAATGAACATATGTTGATCTCTCTAGTGACATAACCACAAACCACTGTGCAAATCAACAACCACATCATCAAGGCTGGAAGCTCAAAATAGTTTGTAAATCATCCGGAGTACAATAACACTCAGCCAATCATCAACAAGCAATAACCAAGATTCAGCCAGTCATCAGCAGCATCCAAACCTCATTTCAATCCGGCTGCAATCATAAACGCTCAATCCAAAACCACTCCACTAATCGCCGAGTTTATCAACTGCAGGACCATAAATGCCAACGCCAGGACAATGTGCTGACATAAAGACTGCTGAAAATGCATTAAACGATGGATGTGTATTAATGGTTTGAACAAAGGCACTACTTCAAAATTGCAATTTAGATGTGACCGCTACCTTGATGAACAACACGCTGGAGTCCATTCATATGATAAATAAGACATTATCCATAAGCAATATCTCATTTCACTAAAGTGTTGAAGATTTGTTTTGCAATCATTATTACTGGGGTTTACTACAGTAAATTATTGGTCATGCTTATGGTTAGGGAATTAAACACACCCCTATGGTTAAGTATTACACATATATTAGTTTCCTAAGCAAATAAAATGGGCAAAATATCCAATAGGCTCGCATTAAATGAGGGACTAGAATAGAATATTATAGAGACTATAGGTGGACAGTTTCTGCAGAAAAGGTTTTTCCTTCTTCTTACCCTCCTATATTTCCTGTCTTTTTTTCTGTGGTAATCTCTGTTTACTTTTTATTATTCCTCCTTCCTTTCTGTTATCGTTTTTATTTTCTCCCACCTTCATTTTCATTTCAAGCACTAAACGCTCTTAAGCTTCAGAGGTTGACGGGTCACGTTTAAACTCTCTTCTCCGAGCCAGAGCGTATCCTTTCCGGGCAGCTGAGGGAGTCAGTGGTTATCAGCTGTGGGTAAATGGGCTTTGGTAATCTGGCTCAGTTGATTACATGGCACAGTAGAGACAGCAGCCTCTCATTAGAGTGGGCCTGGGTGGCTCTTCCATGCTCGGATGAACCCTTCATGCACCGCTACTCACCTCTAACCCTGGATTAGTGTCTGTCTGCACCCTCTCCTGCTGAGAGAGAGTGCCAAAAAGATGATTAGAAGATGGAAGGCGGGAACTGAGAAAGAAAGAAAGGATAAAATAAAGAAGATGTTTCTGAATGTATTATTACATATAAAATGAATCGGGAAACAATATTGTTATTGTTGTAATATTTACATTTTATGAAGAAAGTGTTTGGGTGGCTGGACCAGGTCATTGCTAAGGTGTTCCGGGTGGTTGCTAAATCATTATGTGGTTGCTAGGGTTCTTTTTCTTATTTACTTGAAATAAAGAATCCTGTAGACAGAAGGAAGGCAATGGGGAGGGAGGGTGGAAGGATGGAAGGAAATGGCATGGGAGGAAGGAAATGGAGAGAAAAAAGGAAGGAAGAAAGGAAGGAAATTGGGAGGAAGGAAATGGGGAGAAAGGAAGTATGGAAAGAAGAAAGGAAATGGGGAGGAAGGAAGGATGGATGGAAGGAAATGGGGAGGAATGGAGGAAGGAAGGAAGCAAATGGAGAGAAAAAAGGAAGGAAGGAAGGAAGGAAATGGAAAGCAAGCAAGGAAGGAAGGATGGAAGGAAATGGGGTGGGAGGAAGGAAATGGGGATGAATGGAGCAAGGAAGGAAGGAAATGGAGAGAAAAAAGGAAGGAAGGAAGTGAGGAAATGTAAAGCAAGCAAGGAAGGAAGGAAGGAAGGAAATGGAAAGCAAGCAAGGAAGGAAGGAACGAAGGAAATGGGGAGGAAGGATGAAAGAAAGAAAGTAAATGGGGAGAAAGAAAGGATGTAAATGGGAGAAAGGAAGGTAGAAAGTAAGTATGGACCTAAGGTAGAAAATAAAACAGGAGAAAAGACAGAAATTAAGAAAAAGAGGGAAAAAGAAGGGGAAGGGAAGAAAGAGAGAGAGGAAGTAGGACATAAAAATAGGAGGGAAACGAGTGGAAGGAAGGAAAGTAGTAAGGAAAGAATCAAGAGTGTAAGGATGGAAGGGAGTAAACAGTGAAGGAAGGAAGCAAGAAAGGAAGAAAAAAAGAAACATTGTTTACCTTTCACAGGTTTGAGGGTAAATCTGAGGTGCTCAAACGGCAGTGAGACAGAGAAGGAAGAGACAGGCAGAGACAGGAAGTTAATGCAGTGCAAGCCGTAAGCTGTCTCCAGTGGATTTAATGTGAGTGGGTAGAAGCAGTGGAGAGAGAGAGGGAGAGGAAGAGAGCTTAGCTAAGTGTTTAGGGAAAAGCTATAGCCCACCTTCTCAACTGGGATTCCAGGAAACGTTTCATTCCATTTATTCTAACAATTCTGCCGGCCAAGCAAGTCTGTCTGATATCCCTTAATGAGCTTCAAAGCTTCGACCGCATGCTTCACTGTAATTCCAGCCTTCATTTTCCTCTCACCATTTTGCACTACAAAAGCAAATGTGAAATGATGGCTGAATGCAGTGTAATAGTGAAGCGAGATTACTTTTTACAGCCCTTAATTGCTCTTTCAACAACTTTTTAAATTTGCTGAAAAATTATTGCCAGAAATGGCTAAAGTATTTCAGTGCCGCCACTTTTTTTCATTTATTTATATTGCTTCTTCCACCACTTTCAAATATGGATTTATTCATTTATTGAAGATGCGTGGTATTGATCATAAAGGGTGTTTGGTGAATGCATTAGTTTGTACACATTTTGCATGCTATTAATGAAGAATAATCAAAAATATGCAGATAAAACATTGATTGTAGTTCTTATTCACTTCTATTGTTCATTTTGTTGCACTAGTGTCAAAAAGCTTTTTGTTGTAAAGTGCAAAAGAAAGAAATATGAAAACCTTTTTGATTCTGACATTCAATGCACTTCATAATAATTATCACTTCTGAGTTTCTAAGTGAAAAATTCCCAAGAGTATTTGAAGGCAACATGATGATAAAATGGCAAAAAGTCTAGCCTTTTCTATGATGCCATTTTGTTAGGGGTTGATTGTGTGGTGATAAATAAAGATTGTAGATAATAATCAACCTGATGTAAACAATCCCTTTTTTTTCCTTCTTCAGCGCCCCCCACACCAATCGCTCCACCTGAGCTTCTCGCAGTTGGTGCCACCTACTTGTGGATCAAACCAAATGCCAACTCCATCATCGGCGACGGCCCCATCATGCTGAAAGAGGTGGAGTACCGCACCACCACTGGAAACTGGGCCGAGACGCACATCGTGGATGCGCCAACCTACAAGCTCTGGCATTTGGATCCGGATGTGGAGTATGAGATTAAGGTTCTTCTGACCCGACCTGGGGAGGGTGGCACTGGACCACCGGGACCACCCCTCATCACTCGGACCAAATGTGCTGGTAAGTGTCAATATATATGATTAAAACTTACTTTGAGAGCAATGGAATAGACCAGTGTTTGGACAGTTCAACATTTGTGTACTTCTTTCTGGTAGTTGCTTTTCTATGTTTCTCTCTTTCTTCAAATGGAACACAGTTACTATAATAAAGTGGCCACTCTATTTGTTTGTTCCATTGGCTTTTACACCTAAAGCATCTAAGAATGTTAAGGTTTTTTTTTTCTTGCTGTAAAAGCAAGAGTAATGTGTTATTGGTGGCTAAACGCTCTGCTATGGTCTTTTTTTGTAGAAATGAGCTTTGTAGACTTTTAGGTTGAATCAAAGTAAAGGTTTGGAAGTGCTCTTCATACCTAGTACCTTTCTCAAATAAACGAAATAAACTTTTATGGACAAGGAAGTAGAGTTTTATTTTTTGCTTTTATTTATGGGACAGGAAAGTAGGGGCAGAGAGGCAGAACTGAAACAAAGTTTGGACTTACTAAGGTTGATGCCATTTTAATGAGTCCTATGACTTTTAAAAAAATGTTTATTATAATAATTATTTGAATATTATTTGAAAATATATTGGAAAGTGTAAAACAAAAACAATAATTCATTTAAGTTAATTTTAATGTTGATTTTAAATATGAAGTTCATTTGCAAAAACAGATAACGCCGTTTTTAACAATTTTCATAAATTATGTTTTTTCATTGTGCGTTCCAATTAAGTAAGGGATAATCAACGGTTTGCCGTGCATTAAAGGATTTTAAATGCATGACGTGGTGGCCAAGAACCACCCGACGCGAAGTGCATTTAAAATCCTTTAATGCATGGCAAGACGTTGATTATCCCGCTTATTCCATGGTCATTTGCCAAGTTATAGACAAGTTAAAACTAGTATTGCTCATTGCAGTGCAATATTTGACCAGAAGGGTAAAAATAACAGTTATTTTCATCAGTTATGGCATGTTAGTGCTAGCATTCTGCCCGCTTCAAATCAGGAACAGAGATGAAATAGTGCGGTAAGATAAAATTTATTTGAATGAATTATAGCATTTATTTCAATTAATTATCGATTGATAGAGAGAGAGAGAGAGAGAGAGAGAGAAAGAGATGACAGTTGTGTGTGCTTTACCTGCATGCTGCGTCTGCGCGTCTCTCTCTACAAAAAATGAATTAGGCTACTTCAAAAACAGCACCACCTCTTTGCTGAGAAATATAATGTAGCGATCTAGTATCTTGGTTATTTTATTAATAAAAATCGTGGGGAAGCGTTGACAAGTTTGTGTGTTTGTGAGCAGTGCAATCTGCAATCTCTGACTCTCTCTCTCGTTCTCTCTCGCTCTCTCTCTCTCTGTGTGTGTGTGTGCGAGTGATGAGTGTGGGTTTGTGTGCATCAATTAAAGCAGTGCATTAATATGGAACAGTGATTAAACTGACTTGGAACTACCTGTGCATTAAACGGTTTTACTGCATACCTGCCAGCCAATCAGAATCCAGTATTCAGACAGACCATGGAATAATCTCATTTAAACTGCAGTTGGGTTATTTTGATTAAGTAAAAAATAACTAACAAATACAGCTAACTAACTAAGTTATCTGTTTTTGCAAATAATATATGTATATGTATATATGTAGTTGTATTTTTTTTTAAAGAAATTAATATATTTATTCAGCAAGAATGCATTAAATTGAAGAATCAGTAAAAGTATCTGTAATGTTACAAAATATTTATTTTATAGAGTTAGAGTTAGTTATTTTATAGTTATTGTATAGAGTACTTTCTATTCATCAAAGAACCTTGAAAATACTTTTTCACAAAAAAAAAAAAGTAAGCAGCACAACTGTTTTCAACATTGCTAAAAATCAGAAAGGTTTCTTGAGCTGCAAATGCAGAGTTCGGAAGGATCATGTGACACTGAAGACTGGAATAATGATGTTGAAATTTTGCTTTACCATCACAGGAATAAATTATATTTTCAAATATATTCAAATAGATTATTTTAAATTGTAAATACATATAACAGCATTTTTAGTGTGTTTTATGCTTAATAAAAAGAATAATGTCCTTAAGTTAGCAACATGCTGGGTTATATTAGAGAGACAGCACTTAAGTACTCTATCAGTCAGTAGTAGAAACCTAAAAAGAGTCCAAATGAGAGTGCGTTATTATGAAGTTTCCTGAGGAGAAATAGGGAGAGACTGGGATGATTTGATATGATTTATGAGGGGGTGAAGGTGTTAGTTGTAATGATAATTGAGATTGTTACATTTACACTGCAGAATGATGGCAAAGAGCTGGAGAGAAGACAAAGGCTATAGGTGGGAACAATTTTCAGGCGTAATTATGAACGCAGCAGGGTGGCATGTGGAGCGGCGCTCAGATAGACAGAAACACTCTTGATCTGATAAAGTGACAGATAATGAGATGACGGGAGCAGATGAGAGAGCCCTAGGAAGTAGGGAAGTTTGTAATCCAGGTGAAGGAAGTCACTCTGTGTGTGTGTGTATGTGTGTGTGTGTGTGTGTGTGTGTGTGTGTGTGTGTGTGTGAGTGAGAGAGATCCAGGTGAGGGTTATGTGATGAAGGAGCTGGATTGTCATTGATGACACAGCGGGTGAGATCCAGAGAGGCTCTTCTGTGTCTCCTCTCTCCTCTGTCACTCCCTCATTCTCTTTTCCTCCACCTTACTTCCTCTTTGACATTAGGATGCATACATGTTCACACATAGTCTTGCACAACTTCAGCTGGAAACTAATGGGCTTCCAGTGGCAAAGACATTTCACTTCAAATGTTGTGCAAGTTGTGCAAGATTTGAATTAAAATGCCTTTTAGATTCCTATTCATGTTCAAATTCATTTTCTGAATTTAAATTGCATTTGAATTGAGTTTGCAAACATGATGCAGAATTGCAATTCATATAGCTGGCATTTTTACATAGAAAAGCAAAAAACATGCATAGTAAAGGAGGGCTAAGGCGATGGTGTATTGATGACACAGTTTTCACCATCGTTTTTCTGTTCTTTTTTTTTTAAATCCTAGAGTATTTGGGCATGGATATGTGTGTGAGCTGTGTGTGTGTGTGTGTGCTTGTTTGATATTTTTACTTGTCCAGGTGAGGCTGTTCTACATAATCAATGCGTTCATGCCAGCTCACCACAGGTAGCCGTCTATTAAATATACACACACTCCCACGCATTTCTGATCCAATGAAGTTGCTTCCAGCCGACAGCACTGATCTTCCTTGTCCTTCCAATTCAATTTTTCTCCTCCGCTCCGCAGCACAGGAGCTCTATTGGTATGCTAATACAGTCCCACAGAAGTGTGTCCTCTTTAAAATACACCAGCAGACTGGAGGATGTCATTGTACGAGTACAGAAACACACACATACATCTTGCATTTCTGTTTCAATATGTATTCTGAAATACAAGGATGCTATTACATGTAAACAATACGGCTCTTATACTTGGTGCAGGTATTTGAGCTAAGTATTCAACATCAGAGTGTAACAATAAAATCCAGAACACCTTAGCAACCACACAGCAATGACCTGGCAACCCCACAACACATCGTTTTTGTATTTTACCTTTGTATGCTTTCTGTAATGGAACAAAACCACTGGTTTGTCACTGTTGACAAGCTCCCCTTGAGATTCAAGCTGCAGCCCACCTAATGAACTGGAAGCCGGGCTTAAACTCACACGATTCTGACTCTCGCCCTCAGCCCTGTGAGTTCTGATGGTTTTGGTCTATAAGGGTCCAATTGGCATTCAGGTACAACAAAAACCGTCTACGGCTTTATCAACGATCCAAACTGTGTAAAATTGCTGATATAGCAGGAGAGTTTGTGGGGAAACAGGAGTGAGAGAGGTCAAAGAACGCAATGATAAGGCTGATTGCAGCAACCATCAAAGCCTTGTGATCCACGCTTGTGTGTGGAGATCAATGTGAAATCCACTGTCAGCTTTCATCGCATCACAGCCGGGGAGGCATTTTGGGAGTGAGAGGACAGAGGGATTGGAGAGAGGTGAAGCGTGTCGGAAAAAACATGTGTTTATGAAGTGACGGCACTGTCTACTTGTCACACACGCATGCACGCACACACAGCAGTGCGTATCTGCCACAAAGCACTGATTAGAGCAGACAGGTGTGGAGGTGCTGTGGTCAGGTGAGACCTGTTTGAGGAAGTGTGTGTGTGTGTGTGTGTGTGTGTTCTGTGTGCTGCAGGAAAGTTACTGGGTCATGACAAAGGATGGACACACACTCTTCAGGGCACTTTTTCTGGTATTGGACATGCTTCAATTATTATTAGCCATGAGTCCATGCAGGGTGTCAAACTTTCACATATGCAAGAGAATTTTATTTAAAAGGGAGATAACTCTTATAAACCTGAGCATTAATAATGCATTTTCATGTTTACTCATAAATTTTTGTAGAACGTCACTGTTTGTTTGTTTAAGCTTATAAATTTGTGATATGGACTGCCGTTCAAAAATTGTGGTCAGTATGATTTTTTAATTCAATTGAAATTGTAATAATATTTCACAATATTACTACTTTTACTATTAATACAATAAATTCAGCCTTGGTGGGCATGCAAGATTTCTTTCAAAAACATTAGAAATTACTAACCACAAAATTTTGAATGGTAGTCTGTTTCTGTCCCCGAAAAAAAATCTTGTTCTTATCTTAAAAATGATTTTTTATTTATTTATGTACTTACTTACTAACCTTAACTATTCCAGTATACCTCAGTTTTGTGCCAAGTTGACCAGAAGGTAATGTGTCCGCTTTAAGTAAGCCATGATCAAAGAAAGACACCCGATATCCAGTTGATACTGACTCTGTAATGTTAATACTATTTGTGTGGGGTAAAATGTTGGATAAGATGAAAATAGAGTTGACATTTGGGATCTATTATCCTCTTGAGACCTGGCAAAACATTTTAGGAAAAAATTAGTATTTTTTCATGTCATCACATTGTTTAGAGCATTAAAAAAATGCAATTTGAGTTAATTTAG